CTCCCATTGCTCACCGCCTTCTGCCCTTGGTTCGGACTGTGTAAGTCTTTATGAAGTATTTAGAGGCTTCCAATGTGTGCCCAAACCCCCTCAACCCACACCGCCCTCACCGCCCTCACCGCCCCACCGCCCCCCACCGCCCCCCACCGCCCCCAGCGCCTTGTGTGTGCCCAAACCCCCTCCGCCCTCACCGTTATCACCGCCCTCACCGCCCCCACCGCCCTCAGCGCTTTGTCCACCCCACTGCCCCCATTGCTCACCGCCTTCTGCCTTTGGTTCGGGTTATATAAGTCTATAAGTCTTTATGAAGGGAGAGTCTCGCATGGTCCATGCGTGTCTGGACATGACCCGACCTTGCGACCGTTCTCGATGTTGGCGCAGAAGTACTTCGCTGTTCCGAAGGCGTGGAGAAGCTTCGCACGACTAGCTTGGGCACTATGGCTAAAATCAGGTGGCCTTCCTTGGATACTGACCTCTCAGCTTTCGGGGTCGGCGCTGGCGGCAGCCAGTAAATAAATGATTTGCATGGAAAAAGGCACTGATTACAACTCTACACCCAGGATCCCAACATGCGACATTCGGTTAGTTGTCTTCGCTCCTCTATGCTCGAGGCGGGGCGACAAAGCCCACAGCAAGCGAAACAGCTTTCGATCCTAAATGAACGCATATGAACCCATCAACTCCGTCCACTCACGGTCCTTGCGATTGCTGTGCGTCTAGCTGAGCAGTTCAGTGCCGACCCGTTCCGACCATGGTGCAGAGGGTCGAGGAGGCGGTTACTCTTGAAACTTGTCCTTTAAGCCTGTGCGGGGCAAGACCTGTGCTGCGAGCTTTCATAGAGCCACGGTAGTTCAAGCACGGCTGATGGCTAAGCATGCAAAACTAGTCACAAGTGTCAATTTCGCATCGAAACGCTACCGGTACAAGCCTCTCCCGCATGCATCACGTATCACGACTTGCCCAGCAACCTGAGAGCCTAGATTTAACTTGTACCAACATTCCTCGCGCCTTGTTGACCTTGGAGGTCAGCCGTCGGGCGAGGGAGATGAGGCTCAACGAATCCAGGCCTGGTGAGCGGAGGAGCGAGCCGGTTGCGTAAATTGTACAATGAACGACACCGCACTTAGGCGCAACAAGCTGTAGAAACCGTAAGGACGGAGCGACCGTACATGATCCTGGTTCTCGGTTCGCCGACCACCCTCCCCCCCGCCCCAATGGTATCCCCCGCCCCCCTCATCCCCCCTCCCCCCGCCCCCCGGCACGCCCAGGTCCAAATATGCCGAATCCCTGTGACTGTGCGCACTTCTCCCACATGGCGGCTCGACAACCATCAGCTGACACGAGGATCTCGTCCCAAAACATCCGATCCTTGTGACAGTGGACACGTTCCACTCAGGACTCTGCCATGACGGTATTGAAAATGCAACTGTCACCAGGATCGCGTTCCTGTCAGGCCCGCTTCCTGGCTGACCCAATCAAGGAACATGATGATTCTGGTTCAATTATGATGATGATGAGACTGACGATGAGGATGACGATGACGATGATGCTGATGATGATGACGATTTCGAAACACCCCGGGCGACGCAAACTGCGAACCACACCACACCACACCACAGGGGGGCGGAGGGACTGAGAGCAGACCCAAACCCCGAATCACACCACACCACAGGGGGGGACTCCAAGCAGACCCAAATCCCNNCCGCACCGCCGGGGTGGGGGGGGGGGGAGGGGTACCAACCATTGGGGGGGACCCGGCCGAACCGGGATCATATATATATATATAATGTACACATCCTGCCGCTTGCAAAGGTGGATCGCCCTGCGCAGGGAGGCTGCACGCTACTCAAAATGTCAACAACAACATCTGCAACCGCCATGTATGCTTGCATTCGCCAATGGCTGAAAGGGTAACTATCAACCTCATGCAAAATCGCAAGCTCTTCCAGTCAGCTTAGTTCAAGCTGCACGCCACACCTGCCTGCATCATCGAAGCTCATGTCCAACTGAATGGGTCCGGACATCTCCTCTACAGTTTGGAAAAGCCACTGACCTCGGCAGTTCTCGCGCTTTTTGATTCTGTTGCGGAGTCACCGAGCATGCACAGCTTGCAGCCAGGGCCTTGCTCTTTGGTAACTTCGGCACTCGTAAACTCTCTCAGCTGACGAAAGATGACAAGACAGCCACCCCGGGCGTCGGACGCAAATCGCCTTCCACTTCTTCTTCTGAGGCGAAGATCTGCCCTCGCAGGCAACACCACAAAGGAGCGACAAGGCTCTCCAAATCTCGGGCCTCCAAGGCTGAGCCACTCGTCCAGGTCCATGACGGGTTCCCAGACGGGCAAAGTTACGCAGGTGGCCTCCGAAGCACTCGGAGCGCTTCAATGTTTAGGCACATTGTGGGAATGCGAAGAAAGACTTCCGGCGAGTCGGACATGTGGATTGTAATACTCTTCCTCGGTAATGGACATGAGCCATCTCTGCGGTCAAGAACTCAAACAAGGCCTGTGAGTTGAGAACTTGCACAGCCGCTGCCACAGCCGGCGACGCTGTAAGAACCTCATGCTCGCCATGCTCGAGACAGATCGTGCGATGGTGCACACAGCTGCACTATGTGCGACTGGTCTAGCACAGCGTGCATGGCTTGATGTTGGAGATAATCCGGGCGCCGCAGCGCTGCTCAGGGCATTTAGCGTGCTATTCTTGGATAAATGATGCACTCAAGATTTCGGAAGTTCGTTGGGCTGGGATTCTACTGATTTCACCTGCCTTCCAGCCAACAGTATGTCTCTGTGTTGCTCGCGCCTCCGCACATGTGCTGACTGCACCAGGGCCGAGTGGCCGAGGACTGACTCGTGAAACCTAAACACTCATTTTTGATCCTAGCAGCCAGCCACCTGCCGCGGCAGCTGTATGTTTAGGAGGTATCGATGTGCTGCTCCTTGACTTGAGGGCTTCTGACCGACATATCAATGCTGACCGGAGTCCAACTGCGCAGAGCTCAAAGACAGCTCTGCAAGGTCGGCAAGCGTCGGGGCACAGAGCACGCCGCCGGTGCCTGCCGAGAAGCTCAGTTGATTCCGTGAAGGTGCGTCCGGCGCAGGCGGCCTTCAGAAGCTGATAGCACTGCTTGCAGGCATCCGGACACCAAATCCTCGGCAGAGATCCGAGAAACCTATTCTGTCAGCGTGCGAGGTCAAGGCTGGGCACAGTGCAAGCATAGCATCTCTGAAGGCACTCCCGGCTTCCGTGGCCGCTTGGAGTGCTTGGGGCTCAGTCCAAGCAGCGTCCTTGGGCCCTGCCACCTTCGATGGGCGCGCTGGTAGAACTTCACAATTCTGCACCGCGACGAGAACCTGAACAGCGCTCGGACATGAATGGCCTCATGTGGGTACCTCCTAGACTGGGATTCGAGCGACAACAATGGATAAGTCAAAGCCTCATCTATGTCAATACGTCAGCCTCTTGCGAGCCTGGGTCTCACAGTGTGCCAGTGGAATCTGAATCGCTCTGCATCTGGACGGCGTTTGACAGCTAGCTTCAGAGGAACTACTGCAGCGATCTTTCTCGCTGATCCTGAACGCCTTTATCCCAAGAAGCCTTGCCAATGTGGACGCCCTTGGAGAAGTATTCCAGGGCGCCTGTGGGCTTTCGGGCCACAAACCTTCAATTTCCGAAATGGAAAGCTTGCTGCTGATACCAGTGCCCCCCGAAAGCATCCCAAGACTGTAATCCGAGGGCTTGAGGGTTGCACTGGCATATGAGCTTCAGGGATTTAGGTGGGATGTTAATCTCAATTTCCTCCAAAATTTTGAATGTGCATCTATATATATATATATACATACATATGGTAGCATATATATGTATATATATATATGTTACGGGGAAATTTATTGGTCAGCAGTCGCGAACACAAGACTGAAGAAGCTGCTGAAAGAACTCGGTTGATGAAGTTGGGCTTTCGGGATGTTGGCCTCAGGTCGGATGCTGGTGCTGTAACTTCTAACTGTGCCTGACAGTGGGTGGGGGCGGGGGGAAGTGGCACAGTGGTGCAAGTGACAGTGGCAGTGCTGGCAATCGTCGTCTCGTCGTCTCCGCAGAGTGCCACTATGTGCCACACAGCTGTTAACAGGAACTATAGGGTATAAACGCGCGCAGTACAAAGAGTTGCCTGACAAGTCTGACATTCCAAAGGTCTTCGTCGGAAGCGTCGGCAGCTGCGGCATGGCTGCCCACACCTCCCACACAGATAAAAGAGATCCTCTAAGCAGCCGCTCCGAGCCCTCCGAGCACATCGGGGCGTCAAGCTGACCTCCTCCAAAAGCTCCCTGGCTGTATCTGGCCACTCCAGCATCAGCACATCCAGGTGAGCAGCATGGTAGTGAAGTCCTTGCCCCACACCCCACCCCCGCACAAGCAAAACTCATGAACGAAACAGCCAGATGTAATCAGACACGTCAGCTGAGAAACCCGTACGAGATGGAGAAGGGCTGTCGGAAAACTTCAAATCTCCAAAAGTCAAGCACGAAGCGTTCGCCGTTCGCGGTCCTTTCAGGAAGGGATGCAACAGCACCGGAGTGTTCTCGTACTGGTCGCGCTTGCCGATCTCTAGGAAATGGCCACATGCTCGCAGCCTCCACGCTTCAGTTGCTGGGGAACTTGCATCGTCTTTTCCGGGAGGCGAAATCTGGCTGCTGGCTGCGGACTGCTTTCACAAGGAGCTTCTCGGGTGGCGATTTCCAACCGACTACAAATCCAGACCACATGAAACACTGCGGATGGTGCCTCTTAGGCTTCAACATCACTGCAGTCGCTTGTTCGGCTGTACACAAGCACCATCTCCAGCCAGGGCACAGTCTCAGTGACGCTGGAATGGCCTCCGCGACCGCAATTGAGGAGGAGAGACGGGCGTGGTACTCTGTGGCTAGAATCCCTCTGGCATACATTTCGCGCAAGTCAAGCAGCGAACACATCTCTTCAGCTGCACGGTACGATACGCCCTGGCTTGATGCATTCTACATCCGTTCTGCTCTTCATGCCATTCTTCTGCCTGCAACTGATTTCTTTCTTCCCCTATGTCTTTCGAAGTTGCTGTGCTCTGTGCTTGATCGGGGACTTCGTCGCCGATTATCCTCGAACTTCGTTCCGTTTGCTCGAACTTTAGGGGCACTGTACCGAGCTTACAATAATCGGGTTGGATCCACTTGCGGGCTGAACATCTGGCAGGATTTGGGGAAGGTCTCAATGCTTTTCCGCCTCGTGATCCCGAAAGTCCGACCAGCGTTGAACCCCAACCTCTGATTGCCTGTACGGCTGAACCCAAACATACCCAGCTGGCCTCGCCGCTCAGCGAGTTCAGGACAACATCAACACCCTGGCCGGCCGTGGCCTGCAGACTGTGTCTTCTTCCCATGCATGAGACACACAGCATCAAAGCATGTCGGCACTCCTTACGGATGCCCTGCTCGAAGTCGATCGGATCCCTGGAGTTGAAGACCGCAAGAGCGCCCAACTCCAAGAGCACCTTGCCTTGCCGTGAAAGTCTCTTCAAGAGCAGTATCTGTTCCGGCCAAACGGATTCAGGACCAAAGCACAGGGAAGACCAAGGGCTACAGCAGGTACAGGTTAGAGCCTCGAGGCTGTACAGCATGCACAGCACACACACACAGAGATTTTTGAACGGTTCTTATCTGGATGATAATCACAAATAACCTGTCCTTGTAGCATCACGCGACGAAGATCCATGGAGCTGCAATGGTTCGCGATCATGCAAGACTATGCCACATAGCTGCTGAAATATTGGCCCGAAGACAGTAACAGTAATCTTTCCCTTGAAACTACGGGCACCATCATCGTTCAGGTTAAGGCTACCCTACAAACATGAACGGCTGATTCAGGATCCATCACGTCCATTGTAGCAAAATGCTGAGGCCACTTCAATCATGCATCCCAGCTGCGCTTCTCGGGAGTGGAAGCAGTGCAATAAACCTCGCATCCAGCCTGAGAGATGCAAAGTAATGCAAGGCAATGCTCACAGGCACCCCGAGAGATTTTGCGCCGGTGCGATTGGGATACGCAAAGGGGTGTCGTTGTGCACATGCAAGTCAAGGGACTAACCTGACGGACTCGTAAGCCCTTGCAGCCCGACGGCTTTTTTGCATAAGTGGAGGGCAGACAGCCCAACACCTCCTGCGGCACTGTGGATCAGCACCTCGGAAGCGCTCAAGCAGTCTTAAATGCGGAGCGAAGGTCGGGCCTCAGAACTATTGCAGGTGCTGAGCACTGCGCCCTCGGAATCGCTGGCTCAAAACTGCGAGCTCGACTGCCCAAAAAAACAACCAACTGAATACATTGGTTTCAGTTATTCTACACTGACCTCAGCCGCCGACACGCTTTCCCTTTCGAATGCGGGCCAGCCAGTGCAGGGCATACCATGCTGTCGCATAGACGCATGTGCCTGGAAGGGATACGCCACTAAAGCACCCACTTACGCACAAGTCATGTTCCGTGGTTGTCCAATGTTTATGATAAGATTTTCCAAGACCAAGCGAGGTCCTAGTTCGTTCACCAAGCACTGCACGCCATTGAGTTTTGTGTGGCAGAACGACCTCAATGTCCTTACGGCCCTTTGCCCGCCTGCAACGGCCTCTTCGGGGCTCATGCCTGTTGGTGCGGTGGAAACCCAGCGAGCATCCGTGGTGCAGAAAGAGCCTGTGGAATTCTGCCAAGAGCGCTGTAAACACCATGCAAACATGCCAGCAAGCAAGCATTTTCGCCGGAGTGGCCCATTCCATCAGGTGGCACAGCAATCACGGTATCTCCAACAGCAACGTTTTTGACGCCTTCGCCTGAGGACTCCACTAGTAGCACATGCTCTCATGGTTCGGCCAACTGGATGAACTTCGAAGTGTAGACGTAGACTTGTACGTAAATGTATCTTATCAGAAAGATACCTGATAGCTGCTGAAAGTCAAACAAATCAAGTAAATACAGTTTGATACATTTGGGTTTATAGACCACAACGGCTTCAGCAGTTAGCTTATTGGCGTGCTACGCCCAAGCGGTCGCCAGCGTTTTCAGATCTACCTGTCGTCACTCCAATGTCCCTGCTGTGAACAATAGTTAATCTTGACAGAAAGGGTCGTCGTAGTGCGTCGCAGCGACTCACCTCTACACCCTTGCTTGCTGAATGCAGCGAGCGTAGAACAGAACGATGGCTCTGCTTCCGATCCGGAGTGACTACGTTTTGTCTAGGCCCAGGCACCGACCGCTGCAACCTTGCCGTAACACTCGCCGCCGATACCCAGAGATTGGCCTGCTTAGGATCCATTCTTGGATCTACCAGAAACTAAACCTCTCTGTATCTCTCCTTGCGACGATTCCAGAGAATCGGCCATCGAGCTAGGTCCCAGGTGAATCTGCCGCAGGTTGCAAACAACTGCTACAAGTAGCCAGCAGGCAGTCACTCGGCTGCTGTACTAGACCGCTTCGAGCTCGCATGGCACCAGAGATTAAGGCAGCCGTGTGGACTTGAAGAGAAGTCAATTTCAGCAATTGTTTCGGAGTTTGCCTGCCACAACCGCAGAGATGGCTCCTTTTGCGACCAAAACATCACCTCCGCTGATGCACGTGAGGAAATTGATGACCGTACTGTCCAGTGCTCAATGCTCTCCATAATCCACAACTTGCGGGAAACTTGTCCTGCTAAACCCACACTCGGGAACCAAAGAAGCCTTACAGTACCAACACAACCTCGCGGCAATCGAGCGGCGGAAGTTCAAAGCCCAAAGGTCTGCATGAATTTCGACTTGCCCCGGCCCAGGTGCCACGCGATTGCTGAGGCGGCACCTTGCCACCGGATGCCGTGGATGGGCACAACAAACTCGGATCCGCAACTCTCTGGGACACGCACTGGGCCCCCTTGCCACCCTTGCTGGGATCAGTCTCCACGGCGTAAGGCTCTTGCCTTCAAGGCGCGCACTTCTTGCTTTGAGCAGGGGGTGTGCTGTGCCGCCCTTGGCCTGGAAGCCACGATCGATGGGGGCACAGAGGCTGCCCTGCTACTGCGCATGGAAAGCTGAGCGCCTCCACCTGTCGCGGATCGCAGGGATCTTTGGGAGTGGAGGGCTTCAGCGGCTCTTCCCACAGCACCACACCCACGATCCCAGACTTGGCCGCTGACCGTCCTCGTCCTCGGCTCGAAGGACAGCCTGCTCAAAGTCACAGCTACGGTTCTCCGCTCAAACAGAAGACATCAAGACCAAGCCCACTGATAACTGCGATCAACGGCCTTTACTCTCTCCAGCAAGAACCTTTAAGCGAGCCTGACGAGAAACGGACAGAAGAGCCAAAAAGGGGTCCCAGCCTCTGAGTCCATGCCAAGCCCCGTGGACACATCACGGATGTCCTCAACCGAGCCGACCACTGCACTGGCGCCAACCTGTGCTTCAGCAGGACCAAAATCGACGCTGCTCAGAAGTGCTGTTGCAGCCTCTGTAGGTCTCTAGGGTTTTGATGCTCGTTCGGTTTACAAAGTTTCACTAATGGTCATGTTTTCCACACTGGAAGTGAACAGGATTTCCGGCAATCCTCATGATCCCACAGCTTAAGCAGGAACCCAATTTGGAATTCGGACCGATTTGCTCGAATCTCCAAGATCGATGTCATACAACTCCCGATTTGCTGACTGCTGACGCATCCGAGGTTAACATGGTGCATGCAGGTTCCGACTGGGACTCTGCAATGAGCCGGTTTCCTGTGCCGTCAAAACACCTCGACGGCTGCCTCTGCTGCCGCTTCTGCAAGGCTGGTGCCTGATTCCGGTGGCGGCTTTGGAGCTTTGAGGCCAGGCCTATCAATCGGCATTTGCTCGTCTCAAGCAGGGGTCCACGGTGCTTCGGAGCGCTATACAGAGCAGCCACATCAGAGGCAGCTGGGATGCCTTCCTCCCTGATCGATAGCAGCCAGCACCGCTCTTTGGCTGCGATGCGTTGAACGAAGCTGCGGCACTCTTGCCTGAAGCATCTAGAGAGTGACCAGGCAGTGTGGAAGACCCGTGCAACCTGACGTGCCCGTCTTCGGAAGTGCAGCAAAGCTGCACGTCTTGGAGCGTCTTGGCCTTGACTGCGACGGCCACAGCATCGTAAGGGTCCTCCAGCTTGTCCTGGCATCTCGACAGCCAAGTGCTGCACCAAGCTCCCACACTCTGAGAACTCTTCGGAGAGAAGCGATGTGGCCGAGTTCGTAGTTAAGCCCGAGTCACGGTGCAGTCCGGCAGCTTTAGCTGCTTGGCTTCTTCGCCAACCTGTGTCAGAGAGAAGCCCAGCAATTTCCACCGGGCTGAGTGCAGCCAAAGTGGCCAGGAGCCAGCGGCCGCGAGGTACGCGGGCAATGTCCTCCAAAGTCCGGACGGTCTTGGCAAGACAAGCGCACGACAAGTACGTAGTTGTGCAGGCTTGTGAATGTGAAATGCAAACACCATCTGTCGCTGCCCCTACGACCCCATAACTCCATGAACCTTCCATTTTGGTCGGCTGCTGGTGAGGTGAGCACCGGCATGCATGGACCTGGGCACATCAAACCAAACAGCGCAAGTGCAGAACTCACAAGTCTCTCATGCACTGACTGACTGTAGAGCCTGTATACGGTGGCATTAGGCCAGCTTCCAGCATGACTCGAGCCCCCATGCGTGCAAGTCGCACTACGTAGTGTCGAAGCCCAGGAAATGCTGTTGAATCCGAGTCGCGAGAGCTTCAGGCCTGCAATGTCACAGGCGAGGTCTGAGCCTTCGAAGAGCTGCACCTCGGCATCACCGGCTAACCGTCGAAACTTGGAATCGCCGTCTCAAGCAACTCGGAGTTCGAGCAAGGTCGGGTAGCTCGGCAATGAAGGGTGAAGCGGGATGAGGCACCTGATGACTATGACCAGCCTGACTTTTACGTTGCAGTGGGCGAGCCGCAGAGAGCCCGCCAGTTTCGAAACTTTACAGGCGAGCCTTCGCAACAAGGGGCGAGGAGGATGAATCTGTCCAAGAGTGTGGAGACGATAAGCTTGGAGGCAACTGAAAGCTGGAATCTCCGGGAAACCAGCATTGACGAAAGCAATTTTCGGAAGCTGTCCGAGCTCCTGGCATCAATGTCGTAGGATCCTGACTAGCGAACTTCTTGGAGACCGTTAACGAGCTGGGTTCACAGAAGTTGGTCTGACAGAGCCCGACCTCCCAAGTGGGCCCTGGAGGATGTTAGTTTGGAGCCCACCTCGTGCAAAAACGGCGAGCAACTTAGGCCGTGCTGTGTTCCCATCTCTGCTGGCAGAAAGCTTTCTTCAGCGCCTTGGCCACGACACGGTCGATGGCCTGCGGTGCACCTGCAGACGACTGCTTCCAAATGCTGGCATAGTCGGTCAGTGACAAGACCGAGGTGGCCAGCATCTGTGCGCAGAGGCGAAAGGATCCATCCAGCTGTAGGCCCGAGAGAGCATGAATGCATGAGGGTATGAATGTTTGGGGCGAAAAAGATGTACCCGCCCAGAAAGTGGTCGCTGCTCGATCCATCTGAGTCGCTTGCGTTTGTTTAAGGCCGGGTCTACTTACACTATCTCAGAGCTCGCTTCACCATGCTAGGTACGGGCCGAACTTCTCGATTTCGTGCGAGTAGCGTTAGCAGCAGCTCCTTCATTTTGCAACCCAGTACTTGTACCAGTACTAGTAATAGCACAGCGTGCCGGGAATCTAGAACAGCTATCTGAGCAAGATTGCCAAGCCATCTTGCCCCACTTGCCCGACACGCTGCAAAGATTGCACGCAAGCTTGGTCACTCTTGGTCTGAAGAGGTAAACTAGTCGGCGAGCAAGTTGACCAAGATTGCATGCTGAGCAAGATTGTTTGCAATCTTGCTCTTGGACCAAGATTGACCAAGATTGCAAGATGACCAAGACTGCCAAGACGGTTCCACAAAAGAATTGTTAAACATTCCCGGCGCAATGTAATAGTGGCCCTAGTCCAGGTCCAGTCCTAGTCGTGGTCGTCATCGAGGTGGTCGTGGTGGTGGTGGTAGTAG